GGGGGTGCAAAGTGCTGAGTGTTTACAGAACCTAATTATAAAGCTCCATGGATACCTGTATGAGTGTATACCTAGACCTGCAAGTACCCAGATAGGAACCCTGTTAGGGCCTGGGATGGCCTGAGCATATGGGCAGTTCTTGAAATTTGGGTCCCTTATTGGGTCCCCAATATAGTACGGCACCCTCATAAACAGGAATCTAGAAGGGACCCTAATTTAGACAACTACCCAGAAACAGAACCGTTATAGTAGACCTAAACCCTAGACCCTTATAGGTCCCTTTAAGGAACCCCTAAAGGGGACCCTAATTTAGACAACTACCCATTTTCTTTTTGAGCACATGGACTTCCAACCCAGGATCGCTCCAGGACCTCTCGACCAAGGCCGCCGACGCCTTCAGAGACAGCGCCGTAGCGACTGCGGACGCCCGTGTCAACACAGGCAGGTGCCGATGTCGACTGGTGACTTGTGTTGCTTCTGATGCTTCTACCCTAAGCTCTAACCTTTTGTTAGTGTTGTTGGGAGGCTGGTATCAATATTGTCTGAGGTCCACGAAGGTGATCTGTGACAATCAGGGATCCAGTGAAGAGACTCTGTTTCGGCTTTTCAGCATAGGATGGACTATAGGGGTCCCAATACTTAATTAGAATACAAAGTAACCGCTCTAGGGAATTTTTTCAGGCTTGTCTCCTTTGCACTCAGGATGGGTGCACTTGTTTGGAAATCTGGTCTTTTGGTACTGCCGGGACAGAGGCTTTGATGCTAGGGTTTGGGGTTTACAGGTCTAGTACAGGCCTGTCTGCGTCGGCTAAACCCTAAACCCTAAACCCTAAACTTGCTCATGTTGCTTGCAACATCGGCAGCTCCCGTGACTTCCCCGCTTCTGCTGAGTCTTGTTGCTTTTTGCTGGGGCCTCATTCCTAATGCTAAGCCCACGGTTTAGGGTTTAGGGTTTAGGGGTTTAGGGTTTAGGGTTTAGGGTTTAGGGTAAGCCTTGCAGAAACGCTTGTAGAAACCCTTTGAGGAACGCGTAGAGGAACCCCATCACAATCATTATCCTAAACCTTTAGCCTAAACATTGTAAGCAAACCTATCATAACAGTTAGTAACAATGAAAACAAACTATTAACTAGTACTAATATACAAACACGATAACAGTAACACTAACACTAATGCTGATATTATCAATAAGAATAACAAATAATAACGATTGTAATAGTAATAACAACACTTGTAATCATAGTGATAGTAATAAGTGTCCAGCCAGCGACCGAATTTGAAGCTATGTACGGTTCAGGGGTTTAGGCTTTGGATTTAAGTTCTAGGGTTTAGGGGTATAGGCATTCAGGGGTTAGGGTGTTGGAGGTTTAGGGTGTTGGATCTAGGGCTTGGGGGGTTTAGGGCATAGGCGTCTAGAGTTTAGGGTCCAGGGTTCGCCGCCGAATAGCGTGTAGGCGAAAGTATCTTGCGATAAAGGTCGTGTCAAGTGCATTCTACTTCGCCTGATTTGTTTCAGCCTAACACCGTCTCTGTCGGCCAAGCCACCCAAGCACAGGCCCCACAAAAGAGACCGGAACCCAAACACCCTAAACCCTAAACCCTAAAGTTAAGAGGCCATTGCACTTCAAAAAAAAAGAAAAAGTTAAGGCCTAAAACCTAAACCCCCATAAACGTGCCAGGGCAATCGGGGGGAACCAGCGGCTCCATCCCCCTGACCTTGGCAGACGCTTCGCTCGTGGAGGTGGAGGTGGCACCTTCGGGTTTCGAGGGTTTAGGGGGTTTATAGGGTCTGGGGATAAGGAATTTAGGGTCTCGGATTGCATTGTTTTTGGGTTTAGGGTTTGGGCTTAGGGTTTATGAGTTTAGGGTCTCGAATTTATGGTTTAGGGTTTTGGTTTAGGGGTTTAGGGTTCGGGCTTAGTGGTTTAGCGTCTCGGATTTATGGTTTAGGGTTTTAGGGTTTGGGCTTAGGGGTTTAGGGTCTCGGATTTATGGTTTAGGGTTTAGGGTTTGGGCTTGGGTGTTTTGTGGTTCAGGGCTAGGTTTGTCTAAGCCCAAAGAGTTTATGGAATCGGGGAAGGGTTTAGGGTTTAGGGTTTGAGTTTTAGGGTTTAGGGTTTCGGGTTTAGGGTTTAGGGCTTCAGGGTCTACAATTTCCTCTGTTCAGGGCTTGATATCACATGCCAACTCTCTCCACACCCTCAAGTGCAGCTCGTTCTTTAACTTGGAAACTTGCCAGCCCATCGGGGGTTGAAGGTTCTATGGGTTGAGGGGTTAGGGTTTGGAGTTTGGGGTTTCGGGTTTTTGTGTTTAGAGCTTCGGGCTTCCGTTCTACGCGGCCGGACAGGATTTCGCTTTCTACCCTAAGCCCTAAACCATCGCAAGAAAGCGCAAGATCTTTCACTGTCATGGCTTTCTCTGTCGATCTGGAGACACGGGATCTAGGTTAAAGTATCAGTTTGAAAACGGGACCACAAGGATGTCTGGGAGTAACGAGATCCTAGGAACTAAGATCCATACTATGAGGCCCCCTACTTCACTGAAGCTCCCACATGGTTGCATTCTGCTAGCAGGCCTTCTGCTTTAGCATGACGGATAAGGCAACTGGTTCGGTGGAGATGCCAAACAATAGGGGCACCGTTACTTGGAAGTCGTTCTGGCATATCCGCACAAAGTTCAAGACTGGCTTCAGTCTCATCAGGGTTTAGGGTTTAGGCTTTAGGGTTTTGGGTTTATGGTGTAGGGTTTATATATAGGGTTTAGGCTTTAGGGTTTTGGGTTTATGATGTAGGGTTTAGGGCTTAGGATTTAGGGTTTAGGGTTTAGGATTTAAGGTTTAGGGTTTAGGATTTAGGGTTTAGGTTTAAGTTAAAGGTTTAGGATTTAGGGTTTAGGTTGAAGGTCAGGGTTTGTTTAGGATTAGGGTTTAGGTTGAAGGTCAGGGTTTAGGGCTTAGGCCTTAGGGGTTTGGGTTTGCAGTGCAAGAGTTAACCTTGGCCGGAGGTTCAATTCAACTTCCTGCTGTCCAACATCCATCTCTGGCAGCACGTCTTCGAAAGTTATCTTGTGGTTTAGGGTTTAGGGTTTAGGGTTTAGTATTAAAGGTTTAGGTTGCAGTGGATTCACAAAATATTAACAGCAGGTGTCTTGTTTGAGCTCGCCCGCGTGTCAGGTTTATTAGCTGCTCAGTCCCGTTTTAGTTTCTGTTTCGCTGATTCAGTTTTGGGTTTTGGGTTTAGGGTGGAGTCATCATCAATTTCATTTTTCATTCAGCCACTCAGTCATCACGACAGCTGAGCGCTGACCGCAGTATTGATGCTCTCATTGCTCTTTTTCCTCGTGCCTTCGCTTGTCCTCCAGGAAGAAAGTTCTTGTGCAGAGAACCGTCAAGCCCTCAAAACTAGTTGGAGGCTGCTCCGAATTATGGTCTCAAAGGGCGTCCTTACACTATTTTTCCGGCCATGCATCTCAGAGAAGCTTTGGAGTTGTAGCTGGATCCTGGAGCCCAAGCACCCTCAAAGCATTGCATTTTTCTAGGCAGAAACTTCCGCTCATGTGAAACATGAACATGGTAAAGTCTGAGTTTGAGTGTTTTTGTCCTTGATACGTACCGTCTGGGGCTGTTTCAAGCTGTCCTGTCTTTTCGACAGTTTTTTATGACATACTCAGGGGAGAGACTGGGTTCGGAACACCTAAACCCGAAACCCTAAAAACCCACTGCAAAACCCTGTAAATTCTCTGTCCCACCCTACGAAACTTTTGGTTGAAGAAGCCCTAGAAACCCTAAACTCGGAAAGCTGCTATTTAAGGTTTAGTTTAGGGATTAGGGTTTTTCGTGGTTCAGGGTTTAGGGTTTTGAGGGTTGAGGGTCCTAGACTCATCCCTCCGTGAGGCTGGAAACCAGTGCTGGAGCGTCGGGAGGGCCAGTGGAGGCCATCGCTCGTCGTTCTGTAGTTCCCGCAATAGGAAAGTTAGGGTTTCTACTGACTTGGGCTGTATCGTGGAGGGACTCAGGTGTTTAGAGTTTAGGCTTTGGGATTTCTGGTGTACGGGTTTGCGTGTTTAGGGATACTGCTGCAACTGACTTTTTTGCGTTGGCAGGTCTTATTCTGCTTGACTTTTAAAATTGCGTCTGATTCCTGAAGAGGGGTTCGTTTCCGGGCTGTCCTGAGTGGGTGTTTGAATCGGTAAGCAGTCGACCCTAAGCTCACGAATGCTGTTTTCAGACTTGCCCGGAATTCCAGGCAGCAGCTTGGCAGCTTGGCTTGACAACCCCGCCCAAGCGCTGGCAGTCGCCATCCACCATTCGAGAACGCAAGACTTATTCCCTCCTGACTATGCCCTCCTGTAGAACACCCTAAAAGCCAAAAGGCCGAGTCCCGAGCCCTCTAGCTGAAGTCGGCACCAAAACACCCTAAACCCTAAACCCTAAACCGTCGGCACCAACACAAGCGGCCGAAGAACACAGGCTTCGGGTCCGGCAATTGCTGCCCACGGCGTCGCTGCCAGCCCACGTAATGCCCAGGCGGTGCTTACTTAAGGTTCTATAGGGCTTACAGGGTTTAGGGTTTAGGATTTAGGGTTCTATAGGGCTTACAGGGTTTTGGCGTTTGGATTCTGTTGGGGCGATGTGGAGCATTCGAGAGCCCAGCCCAAACCCCCACCACAAATAAACTAGGGTTTGTGGTTTAGACTGGGGCAGTGAAGCAAAGCAGTTTCCTGGCACATGAAGGAAAGGGATGATGTGGAAAAGAGAAGCGCGACCAACATGACAGCAGCACAGATGGGACCTATGAGGTTTATATCAAGTTCAACCGCTGTACCAAAGCAACACCGCTCTCCAATCCAAACCCCACTGCATGAAAATCTTGTCTGTCAAAAGACATGCGATGCGATGTACCAAGGGCAGTTCGCCGCCACCACGAACACCGCCAACATCAACACCGCCACCACCATCATCACCACCAGCACGTTCACCGCTGCCACCACCACACTGTGGGCCAAGAGCTTCCTTGAAGGTTCATGTGCACTCATGTATAGTGTCACAGGGTAAGGCCACGGTACTGCAGTTCTACGTATTTTTTCCCCCAAACCAAGAGAAAGCTAAAACTCTAGCAGCTCTAGCAGAGCCCCTAGACCACGTATCTGTGCCACCCACAATGAAGGTACCATTCGACTATTCCTTACCCTAAACCCTACAGGAGCCCTTTATGTTCGTTTAACGGTTCCTTAAAGGAGCCCCTAAACCCTATACCCCTAAACTTAAACCGTCAATGAATCGATGGCATCCGAACGGAAGGCCGTCCTACAGCTCCGGCTCGCTGCAGGCGCTTTTAAGGGTCATGCCAAGGTCTACCTAAACCCCCCCAAACTAGGCTATTATTCTACGCACTTTTGGGGTCCAGGTAGGGCAAAAGGGCTAGGGTTTAGGCCTTCGAGGG